AGTCTCTATTTCTTAAACACTTTTCACCTAAGCTATAACATCTTGCATTCCTCATTGTTCTCACCAACTGGTGACCCACAGGCTTCATGCAAATCTCAAATTTTGCCCTGCTTGTGGGTGGAGCTGGCAAGAATGGCATCTTTTTTGTCTTTTTAGTACCTTCTGAGGCTGGAAGGAGACAGGGCCCAAGCCACTCACTAATGAGGGCACTTTGTTTTTGCAGTAAGTTCCCTGGACACTGTCCTTCAAAAGAGTAAGTATTAGACCCACTGTTTCTGAAATGTGTGGGGAAAAGCCAGCTGGGTTTTTAGTGGAGCATCTCACATACTATTAGAGAAGACCTGGGCAGAAGTTGGAGTACTAAGTGAAAGTATCAAACCCATCCTGGCATGTTTTAATGCAACTAATTAAAAATTTTAAATATGGGACAAATGATAAATTGCACAGGGCTCTGGAGCAAAAGGCACGAACTAATATGTTCATAGAGCTCTTCTCTAACTTGAGATGAATTCTTCAACACTATCTTCTAATTTACAAATATTTTATTTATTGGGTCCATTTCAGTTTATTAATTTTTCTTTGCACCTTAAAAAGCTTCAGTGAGTATATTTTTCCTTTGCAAGGTTTCTAATTGGTTACTTCTATTTATTTCTCATTGTTTCATTTCTGCCTCTAAAATTTTTTGCCTCTTTTAAGACTGTTCTATTAGTTTAATAGTAGATTGTCATTAGATTTCTTTTTAAAAAAATTTTATTTTCTTGTAGCAAGAATACTTAACATGAGATCAACCTTTTAACAAATTTTTAAATGTACGGTACAGTATTGTTGATTATAGGTACAATCCAGAACTCTTGAACTTACTCATCTTGCTTAACTGAAACTCTAAGCCTGATGATTAGTTTCTTTATGTGTTTGCAGTTTGGCTTTGAAGTTTCATCTCGAACCAGGGGAATCTCTCCTCTCTCCATGATCCCCCACTCCCCATCTAGCATGTGGTGTTTAAGTCACCTTTTCCTGGTCCTCTGATTTCCCAATCCAGAACTACAATTGTTGCCTGGTGTTGATATTGTTGGTATTACAGGTGCTTTGGTTCTGTGATTTGTGGCCGTTTGTAATGTGTATATTTTGGGTAACCATTTGGCTGCTGGTTGCATGTAGTTTTCCTTCAAGATGATATCTCCTTTTTAACCCTCACCCCATTTTGGACCCTAACACTTGACAAAAAGTTTAATGTTTTATTTCGATTTTGTTGTTAGGTCCCATTAAAATATGACCTTAGCTAAAGTGGCTATACCAAAAGAGATATATCAAAATGTTTTAGAACTATTTTATGCCATTGCTATCTGATATGATATAACAGTGTTCTTTTTCTTCCCTTCCTTTCTGTGGGAGTTGCTGTTGGTGCTACAGATGTATTTCCTCAGCAATCACTATTTTTTTTTTTTAATTTGAGAGAGAGAGAGAGAGAGAGAGAGAGAGAGAGAGAGAGAGAGAGGCAGAGTAAGAAAGAGAGAATCTTTTTTTAAAATCTTTTTTAATTTTTATTTATTTTTGAGAGAGAGAGGGAGAGACAGAGCACAAGTGGGGGAGGGGCAGAGAGAGAGGGAGACACAGAATCCGAAGCAGGAGAGAGAGAGAGAGAGAGAGAGAGAATCTTACGCAGGCCCCAAGCTCAGTGCAGAGCCCAATGCGGGGCTTGATCCCACGACTCTGGGAACATGAGCCAATTTGACAATAAATTATATTAAAAAAAATGAAATTAATAAAAGAAAAAAAAAGACACTCAACTGACTGAGCCACCCAGGTGCCCCAGCAATCACTATTCTTAAACACCCTGAAAAATTCATCTCAGTTTGTGTTCCCTCAGGGGCAGACTTTGAGACAAAGATTTTAATGGAAGTGTTTTTTGGTTTTTTTTGAAAATTTAGGAAACATGCACAGGAGAGTATGTGTATTGATATGCTCAGGGGAACATAGTAAATAAAGGGTACATTATTAAGCCAAGTTGTCAGAGTGGAAGACAAGCTTAATCCTGAAGGAGATCTCTGGCAGATGGTTAAAACACATGCCTCATAAGTATTACACTCCAGAGACGTAAGAACTTGGGTATATCCATGCCAATTTCCATGTCATGGGTTGAGGGTTGCTCCTCAGGGTTTTTGGTGCTCCCATCCCCACCTGCCTTTCCAACCTGCCATGTGTGTGGACAGTGGTCTTCCATATTTCTGAAAGAAGACCACCAGCAAAGAGATACAGATCACGATATTGTGATTTATAAGAAACATATATTTGGCCATTTGGATGACCAAAATGTATTTCTAATATATATTTGGTCTTTGTCCATCCACTATTTCTGGCTCACAGCTCCTCAAACCTTTGGAATTTCTTGTGATGAGAGTGATAAAGGTCTTTTATTAGGTTAATGAGGTGATGTTTGGAAAGCCTCTAAGGATGGGGGGCTGGTAGCCAGGAGAACTGAAACCTTGTGATTGGGAGGTTGGAACTTTTAGCTTCCCTCTTTCCTCCCGTCTCTAGTGGGGGAGAGACGCCCTTAATCACTAATGGCCAGTGATTTAATGAACCATGATTATGTAGTGAAGCTTCCATAAAAACCCACAAGGACAGGGTTTGGAGATCTTCCAGGCTGATGAACATGTAGAGGTTCTGGGAGAGAGGCACTCTGGAAAGGGCATGGAAGTTCTGTGCCCCTTCTCGCATACCTTGCCTTCCACACCTCTAACATCTGGACGTTCATCTCTAACGTATGCTCTTATAATAAATGGTAAAGTATAAGTAAAGTGTTTTCCTGAGTTTTGTGAGCTGCTCTAGCAAATTAATTGAACCTGAGAAGGGGGTCGATGGTGGGGGGACGGGGGAGAGGGGAACATGGGTGATGGGCATTGAGGAGGGCACTTGTTGGCATGAGCACTGAGTGTTGTATGTAAGCCACGAACCACGGGAATCTACCCCTAAAACCAAGAGCACACTTTACACACTGTATGTTAGCCAATTTGACAATAAATTAGTTAAAAAAAAACCAAGAAAATCAGCTGTACTGAGAATCAGGCTCGCGATTTCACTGTAATGGTGGCAGGTTTAAAAAGGACTGATTTACAACACTACCAAGATTCCTATGATAAACTCAGGACCCTCATAAGGAATAAACAGATTCTGAGACTTGGGATAGAGAGTTTATGTAGATACAAATGAAAACATTGATCTCAAGATAAGTCTGAACCTCTGAACTTTGTTAGAAAAGAGCAAAATGTTTTTACCTAGAGACCATGCACCTAACATGGATGTTTTATCTTGAAATCTGCCCCACCTCCATTTGCATGATAAATGCTTTTTCATCCCTTCACTTTCAATGTGCCTGTGTCTTTAGATCTGAAATGAGTGTCTCGTAGGCAGCATATACAAGGGTGTTGCTTTTTTATTCATTGCATGTCCCTGTGTTTTTTGATTATAGTGTTTAGTCCGTTTATATTCAAGGTGGTTATTGATAGGAATGTACTAATTGCCATTTTGTTAGTTGTTTTATGGTTGTTTTTGTAGTTCTTCTCTATTCTCTTCTATTGCTGTGTTCTCTCATGGTTTGCTGGCTTTCTTTAGTTATATACGTGGATTCCTTTCTCTTTATTTTTTGCATATCTATTACCAAGTTTTGATTTGTGGTTACCATTAGGTTTATATATAACATTATGCACATAGCAGTCTATATAAAGTTTATGGTTGTTTAAGTGTAAAACCATTCTAAAAACACTAAATTGTCATTCCTTACATTTTAGGTGTATGGTGGCATATTTTACATCCTTTCATTTTGTGATTCCCTTGACTGATGTTTATAGAAATACTTAATTATACTGCCTTTTTTCTTTCTATTTTCCTCATTCTTGCTTATGGTCTTTCCTTTCCACTTAAAAAGTCCCCTTTAACATTTCTCGTAGGTTTAATGGTCATGAATTCCTTTAACTTTTGTTTGTCTAGGAACTCTTTAGCCCTCTTCCTATTCTGAATGATAGCCTTGCTGGATAGAGTATTCTTGGCTACAGGTTTTTTTCCTTTTAGCACTTCGAATATATCATGCCCTTCTTGCCTGCGGAGTGCTGAAAACTCAGCTGATTGCCTGATGGGGTTTATCTTGTACGTAACTGTTTTTCTTTTTTCTTCCTGCTTTTAAACTTCTCTGTTTATCACTACTTTGGTCATTTTAATTACTATGTGTCTTTGTGTGGACCTTATTGGGGTGATTTTGTTGGGGGCTCTTCATGCCTCCTGGATCTGAAGACATACCCTTTGGTAAAACAGGAAGGAATGTGCTATTGGGAGGGTGGGACCCTGGAATCGTCTAACAGACAAACAAAAAATCCCTTGACGGCTGCTTTGTCAGATGTGGTATCTTTACAAGAATAGATGAGCATAGTCTCTGACACTTGCTCTGTGGCTATTGATATGATAAATGCCCCCCCCTTTTTTTTTCATCAGGAAAAATCAATGAGAAAGAAAAGATCAAGAGCAGTTTAAGTTTGTCTGGCTGGGCAGGCATTCATACACATTCACATTTTTACCCTGGTGCTATGTTAACCAGCTGTGCCTAATGGCCCCATTGACCCTCATTTCCCACGAACATTTGGCATGCCCTGGCTTTCTGAGTTTTTCCCTACAGTAAGGAAGCACAGGGCATGGGTTCAGGGAAGGGGCATCATATTTGGGAGCCCAGGGAATTTCAGATTCTGTGACCCGTCTCTATTTCTTCATCTCTCCCTCTTCATACCAATGGACAATGAGAAACCATAAACTCTCTTCAGTAACAGTTCTTTGAAAGAACAAAGTTCCAGATATTCTGGGAGCTCCGAGGCTCCTCTGGGACAGATTTGGAAGGGAAGACACAGAACACAGAGAAGCTTATGAGAAGTTTATTTTACAGACCACAACAGATTCTCCAGCCCAATTTCTGTAGAGGAACCATCCTCGGGGGCAGACAAGGGCTTCCACCAAGATCAGCCTACGGTTATGGTCCCAATGGTATAAATATATTTTGGTTCCAAGGGCACCACTGCCTCATTGTTGGGGCAGATACCTAGTTGTGCAGTAACTTGGGCCACTGCTACTATTTTTGCAGTTTCTGAAAGAGACAAGGACAAAGATCTTTTCTGATAACACTGTAACCCCCAGTTTTCTGGCTTTTTTTACTAGTTTCAGGAACCTCTCTACTGGGACCCAGTTTCCCCCCAGTCATCTGCAAATATATCTCCCTTGTTAGATTTTCTTATACAACCCCTCACCTTTCAGACCTGGGCATAGTCCCCATTCACTCTCCCTTTTCCTTCCCTCCTTTCCCTCCACCCTGCCCTGACATTCTGTTTCATATCTAGAGTAACATTTCTCTTTATGGTTTCCCTACCCTAGTAGATAGTTCTTCACTTGGATGACCCCTATGCTTACTATTTTTTAAAAATTTTTAATGTTTATTTATTTTTGAGAGAGAGACAGAGCATGAGTAGGGGAGGAACAGAGAAAGAGGGAGACACAGAATCCAAAGCAGGGTCCAGGCTCTGAGCTGTCAGCACAGAGCCCGATGCGGGGCTTGAACCCACAAACAGTGAGATCGTGACCTGAGCCCAAGTTGGACACTCAACCGACTGAGCCACCCAGGTGCCCCACCCTATACTTACCATTGATGTGAAAGTCCCAGTAGAAATTTCTTGGAGCATTCTTACAGAGGCAGGCAGTGAAACGATAGTTAAAAGGACCTTCGATTGTAATGTTGCTTCTGAGGTAAGATGTAATCTGGGGAGGAAGAAGTGGGCAGAGAGGACCCAGTGTTAGTCTGGGGAGTGGGAAAGGGAAAGAAAGACAAGAGAGCATGAAAGAGGAAGAGGAGGAGGCAGGAGAGGAGGAGGAGGAGGAGGAGGAGGAGGAGGAGGAGGATAACATCTTTCATGCACAAAGATCAGGGACAGATGTAGACCAGAAGCACTGGGGAGTCCTCTTTTGTCTATCATTTTCAGGAGCTAAAGCCTGGGTGAGAAGGTTTTCTGGCAACATGTCCTGCTTTAGTGCTATGGGTCTGGGCTCCGAAGGGAAGAGGTAAGTGAATTGACAGGGCAAGGAGAACTCATTCTGAGGCAGCCTTCATCTGAGGAGCACGCTTGCTGTGGTTTCCTGGCTAGGGCTTTCAGGAATGGCCTGCTACCACAGCTTGGATCTTGGGTGTGGAGGCCAAAACCGGACCTTGCTCCTGGAACTATGCTCCTCCCAACTCTGTGACCTTTGATGATTGAAGTGACATCTCTCAGTCTCTCTTTCCTCAGTTGTGAGAGGAAAACAGTCACCTACCAGACTTGGCTGTTAGATAAACGGATGAAATCTTGAAGGTAAATTTCCTTTTTCCTTTTTTAACTTGAGAGGGCTTTGCAACTTGATATATAAGTTTCAGCAGCGTCAGGAAGCTTTTGTCTGGTTAGTGTTCAGCAAGGGGTGTTACCCTGGAGTCCACAGACCCAGGGGGGGTCTGTGGATAGAATTCACTGAGTCTGTGAACTCAGATGGAAAGAAATTGTATTTTTATTTTATTAACCTCTCACTGAAATTGAACATTTCCTCCCACTATGTCATCAATGATCCTCAGTGGCATTTGCAGTGTGTGTGATTTTATCATGAAGGGAAACATAGATGTGTTCATACCATTTTACAGGTTTATATATCTCAAACTATTATCTGCATGCATCACTACCTTGAACACAGGGACATTATATCACGGGGTTGCATGGTCATGGCCGGGGCCATCTGCCCATCTCCTGAAGCTTGCCCAGGTAACTGGAAACTGTGCACTAAATAGCTTGTCAGCTCTAAATGGTGAGCTCCAGCTTTCTCCCCATTGGAATTTTACTCAGAATATTTTGGAGATCCTGGCATTTCTTTCAAGAAACCTACTCTTGCTGGGGGTTTATCTCTTATGACATTTACAACAGTTTATCCTAATGAGTCAGAATTTTCAAAACTTGAATATTCAAAACAAAAAATCGAGGCCACTGAAATTCACTTGTCAAAATCAATGTACAGTTGGAGCTACTTATTCAGGCTGAGCAACAAGAACCGTTATGTAGATCATCTTTATAAGATAAATTTTAACTTGTCTATATTTTAAATGTATTGCCTTTTTAGCTAATATGTCAATAAAGTAATGTAAACAGTACCGTATCAAAAGTTTATTTTTAATAATCATTATCACTTGTTTTTTAATATGGTAGTTTTCCTGTGTAGTCCAATGCATTTTATTTACACATTTATTTATTTATTATTTTTTTTTGAGAGAGACAGAGAGAGAGCAAGCACACCAGCCAGGGAGAGGGGCAAGAGGAGAGAGAGAAATAATCCCAAGCAGGCTCCACACTCAGCATGGAGCCCCATGCAGGGCTCAATTCCACGACCCCAGGACTGCAACCTGAGTTAATGTCTAGAATCAGATGCTCAACTGGCTGAGCCAAACCAAGTGCCCCTATTCACACATTTAAAAGTAATTTCCTAGACTTCAAGAGATCAACAAAATGGTCCATACCACAAATGTTTAATTTTTTTTTATGTTTATTCAGTTTTTGAGAGAGAGAGAGAGAGAGGCAGTGTGAGTGGAGAGGGGCAGAGAGGGAGACAGAATCCGAAGCAGGCTCCAGGCTCTGAGCTGTCAGCACAGAGCCCCACATGAGGCTCAAACCCATGAAGCATGAGATCATGACCTGAGCTGAAGTCCGACGCTTAACTGACTGAGCCACCCAGGCACTTCCATACCACAAATGTTTAAGCAAAGCACTGTGGTTTGCTATAAGTTCTCTTCAACCTTAAAAGATTATATAACCTTTATATTCATGATTGAGGGTATAATCTATTTTAATTTTAAATTTGTGATCCTAATACCTCACTTGATCAAAAATTTACTTGCAAAACATTATAATTGTTAGAAAATGAAGATTAGGTATTAGAATCTTCACACATAAAAACTATATTTTCCTAAATTAAAAAAAATCTGAAGATGTTTCTGTAGCCAGACATTTTTTTTATATTGGAAGCTACAAATAAAAATTGGTTGACCAGAACTAACAAAATTCTTTCTAATTTGCAATGTATTCTATGAGATTCCTTGTACTTGGGTAGGTTTTAAAAAGATTGCTTGGGCGCCTAGGTGGCTCAGTTGGTTGAGCATCCGACTTTGGCTCAGGTCATGATCTCTTGGTTCCTGAGTTCGAGCCCTGTGTCAGGCTCTGTGGTGACAGCCCAGAGCCTGGAGCCTGCTTTGGATTCTGGGTCTCCCTCTCTCTCTGTCCTTCCCCCACTTGCATTCTCTCTCTCTCTGAAAAATGAATAAACATTAAAAAATTATTTTAAAAAATTGTTCTTTTATTATTTTATTTATTATTTTTTTAATATGAAATTTATTGTCAAATTGGTTTCCATCCAACACCCAATGCTCATCCCAACAGGTGCCCTCCTCAATGCCCATCACCCACTTTCCCCTACCCCCCACCCCTCAGTTTATTCTTAGTTTTTAAGAGTCTCTTAATGTTTGTCTCCTTCCCTCTCTGTAACATTTTTCCCCCTTCCCCTCCCCCATGGTCTTCTGTTAAGTTTCTCAGGATCCACATAAGAATGAAAACACATGGTATCTGTCTTTCTCTGTATGTATTAGCATTGTTCTTAAAACATAGTCCTATGAATCACAGTAGCACAAAATTATTTCACGTGTGATTTTGTTGATTAAGCACATTTTTTTACACCTATCACTTTTTCAGGGGTGGAAACAGACTTTCATTATCTATCATTACCAGGAACTACCATTATCACAAGACCTTTATGCATACATTCTCATTCTTTTTGTCATCAGTCGTTATGATAAACAAAACACAGAATTGAGAAATTATGATGTGGCCTCCCTCCCACCCCCAGCTAACATGCAGTATTCACATTCTTGGACTGTGAACAGACAAATTTGACAAAGCAGCCATGTTGTTCTTTTCTCAGTGATCAGAAATCTTTCTCTTACAGATATGGGGCCATTTCTAGAATATATTTTAAGGAATAACAATTCTCATGCTTACAATTCTGTTTTCTTTTTAATCATTGTACTTAAATCTAATTTGAGTTAGGAAACTCATGCATGTGCTGCCTGAGAGAGTGTACTTCTAGAAGGAGGCAGGGGAGAAACGCCTGGGTTTTGGCCATAGAACAGAGGTAGCTAACAAGGGGCAGATTGCGTGTGGGGGACAACACGAGAGGAGACTGCTGGGAGGGAAGAGAAGGACACACTCTTCCCTGGGGAAAAGCCCTAAACCTGCACGGGTCCCTTCTCCTTGTGGCCCAGAGCAGCTGGTGATAAGGCACAGGTGAGACTTATGCTCATTTCCATTTGAACACCTCTGATGTAATAAAGGGATTGGACCTCCCTCCCACAACTGCGAATTGGAGAAAGGGGAGAAGACAGCGTGGGCTCCTTGTTGGGGAGAGGAGGCTGGAACAGGAGTGAACTTCTGACAATAGAGCAAAAGGGCAGAGGGAGGGGGGTCAACGCAGCCTTTGCTCAGAGTTCACTGCCAAGGAGCAAATCTTATCCCTTGTGTTTTGTGCAACATATCTCTTCTGCCCACCTGCCTCAATGCACTGGATGGGGTTGCAGTTTTCCTTGTGAGAACCCCCTATACCCACCTCTCCTCTCAAACAATCATCTTCCAGACCTTGGAGGAACTCTTACCACTTCTCTCCCAGCTCATAAGCTTTTCCTCTCTTCTCCCTCTTAGCTGTGTTTTTCTTCACTACCCATTCCTTCTTTCCTTCTCTTCCTTCCTACACCTCAGGATCGGATTCCTTTATCTGTAAAATGAGAATAGTAATCTGCCCCAAGGTCTGATGATTGTTCTGAGGATCAAGTATATATGAGAATTGGGAGCATGAGGATTGCAGTTCATATTAAGTATAATGCATGATATTAAAGTGAGAGATTAATCTAATTGTATTCATAACTAAGGAGTCAGATTTGTCTTGAGTTCACCCTCTACCCCAGGCCTCTACTTACCACCATACATTCTCGCAATTCTGTTTTAACATTCATCTTCACAGTGATTTCTTCACTTGCGTTTGCTCTGCGGGGCATCTGTACCTCCATTTTTATCACTTTTCGACCGCTTTGGGGAACAGGGAAGGAGGATAGAGATCAGAGATCTGTCCCGTGCACGAGAGGAGCACACAATGAGCAGAGCGTAAGCAACAGGAAAGGTGTAAAGCAAAGGGGATAATGAGAGCTGAATCAATTGCTGAGCATCAGAACCCCTGGACTTTTTTTAATTTTAATTTTTTAATTTACATCCAAGTTACTTAGCATATAGTGCAATAATGAAGAACCCCTGGAAATTTTTGATCCTTGTTTGCTTTGGTTGTTTTCTACAAGACTTTGTTTTGTTTAATATAGCAGCTTTGATGCTTTATTTAAAATTGAGCATTGTCTTTCTTTCCACTGACAAAAAAATGAATTTAAAAAAAGGAATAGAAGTATAATATTACATGTCATTTCTTAATAAAATCCTTCAGGTTCTGTTGACTGTCCACTAATGTGGGGTGGGGGAGGCTCAAGTCATCATTACTAGAAAATTCCATGTCAACAGAATCGTGTTAAACCAAAAACATCTCAATGCACTGGAGGAATTTTTAGAGTCATCCTTGAGATCATCCTTCTTTGATTCCTGGTGGGGCCTAGGTATTTGTATTTCTTTAGCACTGCAGAGAATTTGGACATATGGCCATGTTTGAGGCCTTTAGATGCCACCATACTTTTAAGCCACATATCACAATCTGATGGGAAAAGGAAATGGAAGCAGAGAGAAGTCAAGGATTTCTTCATCAGGGAGACCTGGGTTCAAGACTAGGAGAGTTACTTTCTTTCTCCCAGAAACTCCTGGCTGAACTCCTTGGTATTGGTGGGACAGGAGGGAATTTACGGTTTTGGCTACAATGCTTCACAGTCCCATTTTCCTAGGGTAAAGCATCTCAGATTTTGGAGATATTGCATTTCTTGTGCCAGTTGCTCTAGTGCTCAGTGTAAAGGAATTCCAAAATTCCTCCAAAATTCCTCTCATTTGTAAATGAATTTAGGAGTGATAAGATGACCAGCTTAGCTAGAGTGAGTGATCAGATCAGCTTGCCCAGGAGTGAGGAGCTTCCTGGGATGACAGCCTTTTAGTGCTAACACTGAGAAATCTCTGGGCAGACGGGAATTCTGATCACCCTAATTAGTACAGCTTATTTCACCAACTTGCTGCCCCCTAAGGGCTACATGGGGTGATATCTGTGTCTGAACCTGTCCCCATTCAAAATTTCTTAGGACATTGGGCTCCATTCTACCAACTTGTCAAGACTCTGAATGTTTTACTCCAGGACAGGACATCTGGTTGTGCCACAGAGGGTACCATCAGAATCACAATCCCAAAACCCGGCATTCAAAACCCTGTTCTTGTTGAGAAAACCCCCTAGATTTGCTGAGTGTCCCTGCTTCTCCCAGACTCTGGCTCCATTTCCTACTTCATTTCCCCCAATTTTCCTGCTTCCTTCAAATATGTACCCTCAATGATTTGGCTTCTGAGCCTGTGTTCCCAGGTCCTAGTGTAGGTGGTGGGTGAGTGTGTACTTGCTTTTTTCTTTGAGCTTCAGAATAGGAAGAATGTCTAAGCTGCTTGGCTGGCTCAACCTTGGACCATGGGGTCAAGGATCAGTGATCAGAGCCTCTGATCCTTTAGTGAGTCCTACTAACATTGCTTAAAGCTATCGCTAGAACTCACAGACTTGCTAAACCTGCTGTTCTAGGAGGCAAGGTGTGAGAATGTAAAGTTTACTGACCAGAAATCTGACAAAGGTGTAGACTATGGACAGGATGTGGATCAGAGCCATAGAGCAAGACTGATTGTTACTTATAGCCTATATGCACACTGGGAGACTTATTTCCATGGACAACCTAGAAGAACCCAGTGGAAATATGAGTATAGTTTATGAGACTTCCTAAGAGGAGAGAAGTGGAACTTGAAATGGGGTTTAGGACAGTCTCTGGGACCAGAGTTCTGGAAAGTTGAAAAGTTTTCAGGAAAGGATGTAGAGATTTTCAGGCTAAGATAAGATCCTTCCCTGAAAGGATTTTTGTGAGGAAGAGAAAGGCTTGGCTCACGTGTTTTCCTGAGCTTTGTTGGTCCCCAGCTGCAGACAGAGAACCAGGAGCAGGGCAGCAGAGCTGGCTCTGAACAGGAGCTGGAGAAAGTGCATGGTGGAGGAGACAGAATGTGACGTCTTAGAGAACACAGTCCCAGGTGCCCAGCATACTCCTTATATGCAGATCAAGCAAGTGAGAGAGCTGCCAAGCGGATCCCTGTGGTCAACTACCCAAATACCCTTCCCACTCATGATCTTTCCTTGTTGAGCTGAAGTTTGTTTTCCTATGGAAAAAGTCAACATTCGTCTATAGTGTTAGTGTCTGAGAAAAGAGATTATCCTTCCTCGTTTACTTGGTATGTCAGAATTTCACAGAGTGTCCAGGACCTCAAAAGACCTCAAAAGCTCTTCCCTCTTATGCAAATGTTTTCTTTTCCCTCATAATCATATGCCTGCTGTATGTAGCTTTAGCTACAGTCTGCTCCCCTAGTCTCTAGAGGCAGAGAGCCCAGCTGTGGGTAGCAGGTTTCAGATCACAGCTGTAGGAAACTTTTGGTACCCCCTTATGGTAAGTTCAAGAGGAGATGTTCTTCAAAAAATTTTGTAGGGCTGCTAGGGTGATTAGGATTCTCCTAGGGGGTTACCACCAATCATAAGAGAGGAGAAAACTAGAGGTGGGCTGCTCTGGATGATGGGGAATTAAGGCCATATAACTGGGTGACATGAAGATGCGTGTGATTGTTGAGTTCTTAATTTCAGAGACTGTAACACACACACACACACACACACACACACACACACACACACACACACACTCTATTGGTTCTATTTGAGAATCCTAATACAGCTGGTGTTTGGGAAAGGACAATAAATGTTGAAAGGGTTGGAACCCATATTGGTTGCAAGTGTATTTGAAACTTTGGGGTGAAATCAGGTTCTAAACCCACAATATAGCAGGCAATTCAGATGGGAAGGACAAATGTGGAGTAGAGAAGATATGGCATCTAGGCAAGTTGTACTGAATTCTTAATGTCATTTTTGCTGGGCTTCAACATTCTTTGGTGTCACTTCACTAGGTTGTAAAATCCCGGGGTATAAGACAGATTATTGCCTATTGAACATAATTTGAAGAGGCACTTCATGATGATATTTAAGTATATATTAGTTTAAAAATCATTATTTTTTAAAGTGATGGTCACATATTGGTCAAGGATATCATGGAAAATGATATCCACAGAATAATGGAACATGGTGAAGCTTCCTTAAGGCTTAGTAGGAATGACCACATTTTATCTTTCACTCCATCATGTATATCCAATTATAGGACTCCAGGGTATTTTAGCTTGATGTAAATGTATGCAGATATTGGTTAAGTAATTTTGACTAAATCAGCAATAGATATTTATTCTAGAAACTGATGTGATTTGGGGGCCAATAAGCCAATAAATTGCTGTAACATAGTTTCTTCAATGGCTACCCACATTGCATCAAAGATCTGGATGGAGATGAACAGTATCAGGCAAACCTTGGTTTTAACTTGGTTTTAGGAATGAAGCAAGTCCACCAGCAAAAATCCATGTGTCTCCCCAGTTGACAAAGAGGCGTCAGTATTCATGGGGTTTAATATATCTGGAAAGACCAAGTTTTCTGAGGGAAGATAGAATGTAAGTAATTGTTGCAGTTCTATAGATGGTATGCAGGGAAGTGTTTAGAATGTTATTTATGATAAAAGCTTGAGAATAATATCATCTTCTTCTCCATGCTGTTGTTCAGGAAACTGATCTAGCAGATGGCTCCCAGGGGGAGAAAAATGAAGCTGAAATTGTCGTGTCCTCTAAGTAATGAACAGGTCCAGTAGGTTTCAAAAAACAAATAGAGATTGATAAAATCAGATTGTAAACAATTCAAGAAGCTCATAAAAGAGAATGTACGGGAGCAAGGGGAAGGGATTAAGGATTAAAGAGAAACTTGCCACAGGCTAAATTTGTGAAGAAAAAGGTGATCCTAGGTCTGACAGGGCTCACACAAGAGGAAGATAAGGAATGACCACAAAAGGGAGTTAAAGAAGCCAATACATAGTGAATGCGTACTATGTGCCTGACACTGTGCTAAACATTTCACATGTATTAACTCAATTTTCAAAACAATGCTATGAAGTAGATGCCAGCTTATTCCATTTTACAAATGGAGAAATGGAGGCACATAGCAAATAAATATATTGAGCCCAAGTCACAGAGCCAGTAAGTGGTGGAGCCAATGTTGGATCCACGTTTTGTAGAATCTGAAAGTTTTATTTTACAATATTGGGAGCCTGTTTGAGAAATAGAATGCAAATTCTCAAATATGAAATACATACACAGGGCTTTGGAAGAAGTTGTAAGTAAGGGGCCCTAAGACTTCACATCACTAACTTTATGGTACATGTGGACAAACCAGAATTTGAATGCAGGCAGTCTGGCTCTAGAACCTGAGCTTTTAACTACTCCATTGCCTACTAGTGAGGACAAGGCCACAATGAGGCATGCCCAAATACTAATAGAGTCCCAAAGTAGGTAAGTACAAAGCCTACTCTAAGTACACATTTATCTTCTATGGCTGACCATTCTAGGGTATTTTCCCATAAAGTTGATGTAACAATCTTAGCATTCATCCTTTCTTTTATGAATTCATCTCTCTACCCATCATCTACCTAGTTCCTTCAGTTGATGTATTCTACAAATATTGATTAAGCACCTACCTTTACAGAGAGGCTTAAGGTGATGGGCATACAGAAGTGAATGAGACAGAATATAATGGGGGAGGCAGTCAAAATAACAAATTTAATAGGCTGTGATCAGAATTCTAATATTAGTTTCTATTTATTGAGGACTACTAAGTATGTTATAGGGTTAACCTAAATGGAGCAGGCAGTCATGAGACCTATTTCTGTCTTCCCATAGATTTTAAAAAGCATCCAGAGCACCTGGGTGGCTCAGTCAATTAAGCGTCTGACTCTTGATTTCGGCTCAAGTCATGATCTCATGGTTTGTGGCTTCAAGCTCTGCGTCAGGCTCTGTGCTGTCAGCACAGAGCCTGCTTGGGATTCTCTTTTTCCTTCTCTACCTGCCCCTTCCCTGCTCTCTCTCTCTCGCTCTCTCTAAAAAATAAATAAACATTAAAAAAAAAAGCATCCAAGCAAACACACCTAAAAATGAAAAAATACAAATTTGACTCAGAAGTTTTGAATAATATAAAAGTTCTTTACTATAATTATACTTTGGGGGTATGGAGAAGTTTTACACATTATAGTCCACAGACACATTTCTTAGTGTCTTCCTTGATCCCCACATTTTCCTCTTAAAGGTAGCTGCTAGAGATTTCTCCTGTCTCTCTTGTCAGTGTACTGTATTCAACACCATGGTGTTTCCCCATTCTCAACACTTTTTGTACACTGAGTACTTTTGACATACGACCCTCCCTTCTGCTATACAAGATGCAGAAGTAGAGCTCTGCTCCTTTTGTCTCCTACTGCCTTGAGAATCACATACCCTAGGATTATTGTATACAGCTTCTTTTTAAATTTTTTTTTTTTTTTAAACGTTTATTTATTTTTTTGGGACAGAGAGAGACAGAGCATGAATGGGGGAGGGGCAGAGAGAGAGGGAGACACAGAATCAGAAACAGGCTCCAGGCTCTGAGCCATCAGCCCAGAGCCCGACGCGGGGCTCAAACTCACGGACCGCGAGATCGTGACCTGGCTGAAGTCGGACGCTTAACCGACTGCGCCACCCAGGCGCCCCTACAGCTTCTTTAAATAGCAAAAACAACAATGAGAGCAAATATTTATACAGTGCTTACTATAAGTCAGACTCTCTGCTAAGTAGTTAACATATTAATTCATCTATTGCTTAAAAAGATCATATAACTTAAGTATTATCCTCATTTTATGGATGAAGAATTTGAGGCCTAGAGAGAGAAAGTAAATTGCTCAAGGTTGCAAAGTTAGTAACTGGAAGAGTTGGGGTTAAAAATCAAGTAGTCTGGGAACACCTGGGTGGCTCAGTCGGTTAAGCGAACAACTTCAGCTCAGGTCACGATCTCACGATCTCACGATCTTATGATTTGTGAGTTCGAGCCCCACATCCGGCTCTGTGCTGACAGCTCAGAGCCTGGAGCCTGCTTTAGAGTCTCAAAAATAAATAAACATTAAAAAAAATTAAAAAAAGAAATATGCCTTATTTTCCAAATATAAGATTTTTCTAACTGCTCCTCTAGTGAGGTATGTTTCATCTATAAAAAAACTTCACACATTTAAAACACACAATTTGATGAGTTTTGGATATATGCATATACCTGTGATATACTATCACAATAATCAAGATAAAAATATAGGATTTTTAAAATTATTGATTTTAGCTTATTTATATTAAGTTTGGAGGATATATTCTGAGTAGTAGACAGAATAATGGCACCTCAGATAGTCTGTGTTCTAATCCCTGGAGCCTCTATGTTACTTTATATGGCAAAAAGGACTCTCTAGATATCTTTAAATTAAGGGTCTTGAGATGGGGAGATTATCCTGGGTTACCTGTGGTTGGCCCATTGTAATTATAAAAATTCTTAGAAAGAGAGAGTCAGGAGAGTTAGAGTGAGAAGAGATATGATGACAGAAGCAGAAGTCAGAGAGATACAAGGAAGAGGCTGCAAGCCAAGGGATATAGGTGGCTTCTAAAATCTGGAAAAGGAAATAGATTCTTTGCTAGGGCTTCCAGAAGGAACAGAGACCTGCTGACACCTTGATTTAGGACTTATGAGCTCTGGACCTGTAAGATAATCCATTTGTGTTGTTTTAAGCCACTAAATTTATGATAATTTGTTACAGCAGCAATTGGAAGCTAATGTATGCTACATAATTCCCATCATTTTATCCATGTGGAAATGTGGGTTTTTTCCCCCCTAGCTTCTATGAAGTTATGTGTGTGCTTGAAAAGAACATATATTTTTTGAATATCATGTTTTTTTTATATATCTAATAGGTCAAGTTAAAAAATTGTGTTTAAAATAGTCTATATTTTTACTAAATTTATATTGATGTTTTCTATACATTATTATTTTTTACATCACAACACTATAAA